ATGCATTGAGCCACTGTTAAAGCAGTCAAACCCCTAGGTAAGCCACAAGAATATGCTAGAAATATTTCTGGCTCTTGGTCACTGCTTTGAATGCACACACATTCCTGGACGTTTATGTATAGAGATGTTGCTTGTTGTGTAAGAGAGTATTAAAATAATTCCTTTGTTTTAATAACACCTTTATTAGTTGGCTACTAAATAGTTTCTGTTTGTGGAACAGACCTTTTTCTGTGAATCTCTGTCCTTCTGTAGTGTCTCAAAATACAGTCCTGGTGGAGGATATAGGAGCGTTATCTTCTACATGATCTCTTATTTCCTCTATTTTGTTGCATTTGGTTTCTATCTGGGGAGCTGTATAATGTTAAACAGTTTTAGACAGTTTGGAATCAGATTGCTAATTTCTGCACATAGCTGTCACTATCTATTATTTGGGGAGGATAGCTGGAAGGAAGGGGTTCCCTTAAAACTTTTGGTAGTACAAATGTTTGAGCTCTTGGCTGAATGTTAATATTGGCAAGTAGTTGTGCAAAGCTATTAAGCATTTGGCTAATATCCAAAGTTACTGCTGACTAGGTGATTCAGGCCAGAGGAGGACACACTAAAAGTTTAAATCACCCCTGAGCACATTAGAGTGTGTAAGCAGTGAAAGGCAGAGCTCAGGGGGTTCTGTGAAGGCAGAGCTTCAAGGAAACCTGGCAATTATGTAAAACGTAGAAGTAATGATTTGGAGAGTAAACTGAGTAAGACAGACCTTCTATTAGCATCGTATTAGAATCCTGTGTTTTAAGTCTCTATAAAAATAGTTAAAATTCAAATAAAATGCATTGTCAGAGACTTATGTGTTGTGGTTAATGTGAACCCATGATGTTGCTGCCTGCAGTGTGCAGGTGATCTGACGAGGCAGAAATGTGGGAAATAAGGTAAGCTGAAGTTAGGACAGACATCAGGAGGGACTTTGGCATGAAATTGCCTGTTTCTCATTTGCTGGGATTTTCAAGGCTGCTAAGAGCATGGGAGGGAAGTGTCCCATGTCTGCCCCTGCCCCCAGCTAAGAATGCATGCTTAATTTTCTGGATATTAAAAGGATCCATATAAAATATATTTTTGTCTGCAGTGCAAAATATTAGTGTCATGATTATAATGGTTAAACTCATACGTTATGTACATTAAAAAGTATTTTTTTCAAAATAAGAAAGTACTGAGTCAAGCAAGGGAGCATCTGGGTTTTGTGGGTTTTTAAATTTTTTTTCAAGTACTAAGCTGATTTAAATTTTACAACTCAAAATAACCTTTTATAGGAACATGCACGCAGTGGGTCTGCAGTCTGTCCCTACTGCATGGACTGAATCTGAGTGACTTTTTATTTCAGGGAAGTTTTTAGGGGGATATGACCTTCATGAGTTGTGTGTAACCAGCTCCTTCGTGCTGGTTACTGCAACATCTACAGCTTCCAGGCTTCTATCAAGACTGAGGGTTGGTGTCTTTAGTTGTGGGTCTACTGTTCTTGTCCTGGGTGAAAAATGATTGCTTTAGAGTAATAATATTCCACCCCTCCATCTTCCCTCCCCCCAATTAAAATAACAATGTAAAATCAATTTAGTTTTCAAGACAGAATCATCTATATCTCACCTGCCCACTCTAAGTTCAACTAGAACAGCTCTTCTATGGGAAGATGGGAGAAGGGATCTCCTCTCTTTCTTTTTCTCTCCAGGCAGTAGATGATGATCTGTGTGGCAATTGTTGATGTCCTGAGGCTGATATTGCTTCTTCATGTCTCCAATTCCTGATGTGTTGAGACACACAGTAAATCTTCCTGCAGCTAGGGAGGCTCTGTGTATAAGCAATAAAGAGTATAAAATGATGTAGATGCCTTTGTCCCCTCTTTCATATAGCTGTGTTTGGTATATGGCATCCACTGTCTGAGACTTTTCACAGCCATAAAAGAAGGCTTGAGTTTTGTCCTGAAGATGTATACGCTTTGGAAAAGTACCTTCATGTGCTTGCCTTTTTCCAAAGTGTTTGCAAGAAAGCCAGACTGTATAATTCAGGTTGTAGATGGTGATGAATTGCAAATGAAAACCAAAATAAACTGTAAGAATTTCTTTAAGTCAGGGTTTTCAGCTTTTGGTCTGTGAGCTATCCTTATTAGCCCATTAAAGTGAGAAACCTAAGCATATCATCAGTGTGCTTGCACTTTCTGCATAGAGGTCTCTGTTTTGATTAGAATATATTTCTAGGGGGAAAATAAAACAATAATTGAAAATGCTGTGGAGGTAATAACATTTCTTTGGTTGGTGGTGTTTTACTTCTCTTTTCCTGTTGCTTTCAGAACTTTCACAACTTTATGAAAGTTACAAAGTTAAATCAGTATTTGAACATTGTTATTAAAGACGTTCAGAGAAAAGTTAGCCTCCCTTTGGATAAGGAATGATGATTCCCTTTTTCAGTAGGGCTCAATGGTAAGCACTGGAGTGCTAAGCAAGATAAAAGTGTTTGCTCATTTGAGATGAGAACATTCAAAACTTCACACAAGTAGAAAAAAGACCACAAGTAATAAGCTCTACAAGGCAAAACAAGTACTTAAAAATACATATCAGAGACATAAACAAAAGGCTAAGTAGGTTATTAAGTAACTCTAAGCAAGAAACATAAATTACTTGTCAGACTGTGGCAATGAAAAGGAAAACCAGTTCTGGATATGATGTAAAGGTATCCTGTACCTCTACTACTGAGAATCCACAGATCGGCACCAAACCCCATCTGGCCTTGTATCACGTCTGCTGTACCTAAAAATATTTTATTGTATCCAGTTTAAATTGACACTGACAGTTTCTGCTACCAATCTTTTTTTCCACCAGGCCAAAGAATTTTTTTGATGGGGGAGGGTGAGGAGAATTGTATCAGTTCAGAAGACACTTGCTTTTGCTCAGCATCTGCTGTGAGCCAGTGGAAGAAAGATGATCTTCAGCTCTGATCTCATGGAGAGATTGTTTGAAGGAGCTACAGAACTTTTTCAGGAAACTAGAAAGATGAAAGGATGGATTTCTCAGAGTGCATGATGAGTGCTAATATTTGACCATAGGATGTCTGGCACTTGAGAATTGGGATTAAGTGGTTGCATTGCCCCAGTCACCATGATAGAAAACATTCTTTTATTGATCATTGTGTTGAATCTGAGATAGCAGAAAAGCTGCACCAGTTTTTTGGGTGGAACAAGCTGTAGGTCATCTCTTGAATGCTAGACGCCGACTGAAAAGAAAGGCAGATTTGGATAGTGATGTTAAAATATCAAAATTTGAGAATGTAAATCAACAGGTTACATCTACTTCCTTTAAATCTATGTGCCGTTGAGGCTGAATTCAGGAAGATTTAAGAGGCTTTCATGGCCTGAGAAGCTGATTCAGACTTTAGCCTCTAGAAATGGGAGAGGTGAAAATCCACAAGAATGGCCACTGTTGTATAATAGTAGTTGAACCAAGCTGAAGCATCTCAACTAATTCAGATGCATACTGGCAATTCAAAAGAAACAGAAATATTTTAGGCTCTGTTGACTCTTAAACTTGTGGAAAACACAGCATATACTGTGGATTCTTAGAGCTCATATTAAGCCATATGGAATACAATTGTGTGGGATGAGGGGTCATCAGAGAACTCAACATGCTTCTTGTCTGCTGACATCATTAGTGCATATAATGTTCAATGCTAATATTGTTGGTGATTATTTAATATAGTAGAGTGTATGAATGAATATGACATTAAATTTTCCTTCTGCCTGCCTCTGCATCAACACTTTTCACAGCAGATGTAGAACAGATGTTTGAAGACACTGGGAATAATGTATCTATCCATAATGAGGATGCCTTGAGGGAATGGTTAAAAATTAATGTATTTGATTGAATCCAACTTTTGTTCTTTCTGTAGATACCTTTGATCTGGTTAATGATTGCCAATTTAATTAATATCACAAATTTTTTGAAATGGTCATATTTGTTAGAAGAAGTGTGTTGGTAGGTCTGCCTACTTCTAAAGTTCTATTGAATGCTTATTTTAACACTAAGTAAAGTTAATAAATTTACTCAAAGCTTGCTAAATGTATAATGATAGTGTTGAAGAATTTGAAAATGGAGTATTGGACCATATCTATCTGTTGGCTTGTTAAATAAATTACAAGACTAGTTCTATGAAAGCAATAAAAAAATAACTGTATTGCCCAAGCACTCCTTTTCTAAATGAAAATCTCAACTGTTGGCATGGAACCTTTTTCTGAGTAGCTTATCAACAACAAATATTAGCAAGTTAGTACTTCACTAAGCAAATAATAGTGTGTTGTAATACATTATAATTGTTTAGAAGGAACTCGTCACTCAAATTAGCTTAGTTTTATTATTAATTTTTCTCACTGAAATGTATTTTTGTTGGTTACAGCTGAACTAAGAAAAACAATTTCCTTCATCTTTTTTCTCTCCTCTTTGCTAATCCAAACAAAAATTAAAACCCTTGCTTATTTTCTTGTTGTGTCTTAATATTATTAGAGAATCCACAGAACTGCTGATTTGCTACTTTTATATAGCCTTTTGAATATGGAATAACTTAATTCTTTGTGTAGTTCTTAATGTCAACAATATCTTTTTTTCCTTTATATAAATGTAACATGGTAAGTCATTTGAGTCCATTAATATATCAGCTAAGGTATGGTTTTGGGCCCATGTTGCTAATTGCAATATAAAGCTTGTTAAACTAACAAATTATTCTAGCAAGAAAGAAACGAGCAGTTTTCTTTGGATTTAAATTAGTTTTAAAATGTATTTTTAACTAGTCACCATAAATAAAATATGTATAGTGGATTTTGTTTTTGAAGTTATTACTCTAGGAAGTGAGTTACTTTATTGCCTGATATATGGTGATTACTTGTAAACTTATTTTCCAAGGTGAAAACATACTTAATTTTGTCATTTTGTTTTTTCTTTCAGGTCTGTCTTTGGAGGAAAAATAGATTTTTGCCTACTGGAAGAATGCAGTGAAACTGCCAATATTTCTAGCTGGAATTATAAATTTAATATTCAACTTAAGTGTTACTAATTTCTTATTAAACAGTACCTCAAAGTAGAAGAAAAATGTATGGAAGTGCAAGAACAATCAGCAACTTGGAAGGAAGTCCCTCCAGGTCTCCTCGTTTGCCAAGATCCCCTCGCCTGGGTCATAGGCGAACGAGTAGTGGAGGAGGAACAGGTAAGACATTATCAATGGAGAACATCCAGTCCCTTAATGCAGCCTATGCAACATCTGGACCAATGTATCTGAGTGACCATGAAGGTGTAGCTTCTACTACTTTCCCAAAGGGCACAATGACTCTTGGAAGGGCTACAAATCGAGCTGTGTATGGTGGTCGAGTCACAGCTATGGGGAGCAGTCCTAATATTGCTTCAGCTGGACTTTCACACACAGATGTCCTTTCTTATACTGATCAGCATGGAGGTCTGACCACATCTTCACACCATCACCACCATCAGGTTCCTTCTATGCTGAGACAGGTTAGAGATAGTACCATGTTAGACCTGCAGGCTCAGCTGAAGGATCTACAGAGGGAGAATGATCTTCTCAGAAAAGAACTAGACATTAAGGACAGCAAGCTGGGATCCTCTATGAATAGCATCAAAACTTTCTGGAGTCCTGAGCTAAAGAAAGAGAGAGTATTGAGGAAAGAAGAGGCAGCCAGAATGTCAGTTCTTAAAGAACAAATGAGAGTTTCCCATGAAGAAAATCAGGTAAGTAATTATGAAAATTTCTTTCTGTTGCTTTACAACTAAGCACTTGATGTTTTGCTTATAGTACTCTGTCCTATGTTGGAGCAAATTTGACATTTGACACAAGAATTGTCAACATCTGTCTGCTTCTGGCTGCTAAACAGTAGGAAAGCACATTAATAAGAATCCAAATGCAGGTTGTAAATTTCTTCATGCAGAATTCTTTTGCATTGTAGCTGGAGAGAATGATTGTTTGGTGTTACCCTTTCTCTTCTTTTTGAGACCTTCCCTAGGGTTTTCTTGCAATTACAGTCTAAATATATCTGGCAACCTGTTATGAAGAGGTAAATGAGCCACCATTGCAAAAGTATAAATAAACATCCAGAGGCATGTTTTGTATGAGCACTACAGGGATTTCTCTGTTTTAAAGTTAAAAGAAGATAAATCTCCATATGCAACTCTCTGTACTACTGCATTACAGAATGAGGTTGAATTTGTGTTTCCACTAACAATTCAGAGACCCGTGTCTTAGAAAAACAACATCTTGTAAATATGTATTTCAAATACTTCTATTCACAATGTATCATTATTTTCCCAGAGTTACAAATAGATTCAAGTATTTTAATCTGGACGGATAAATCTGTAAGATCAGGTTTTGAGACTATACTGTATCACAAAGCTATATAAAACAGTGACACAGAATAGATCAAAAAATTCTCATATTGCTGTCTCCACACACTTTTTGGCTGCTGGTCTTATTTTAAAGCTGCTCCTTTTTAGACCATCTGTTAACTTTCCCCAGACAAAAACACAATCCTGTGTTTCTCTCACTTCCAGATTCCAAATCTAAACTCCTTTGCTGGCAGGCAGCAACAACTGAATTTTTAAATTTGCTTCCAAGTTTGTGATCATTAGTGCTTCTCAGCAAACTTTCCACCTTTTACACATCATGAACCAAAATTGCTAGAGAGCTAACTCGTTTCTTTCCAACTACTTAGTGGAAAACTGTCTGGGTCATGATCAGGATTTCAGTACAGTCAATTATTTTGTTGCATTCATGTATAACTTTTGTATCCAGACTGACAGTAATGGTTACTGAGTATTTATTTAGGTGCAATAGGATGCTGCTAGAAGCAGTATTATCAAAAAAGAGTTTGGTGGAGGTTCTGTTAGTCAAAAGTCTTATTGGCTAGATATTAAAATCATGATAGTTGGTGTCACCTTAGTAGGAGGAATATTCTAGCACACTCAGCTTTGTTAGCCTTTCTTATGGAAATGTCACATTAATAACTTTTACTGGCATTGAGAATCTGAATCTGATTTTTAGAGACTTTGTCACTGGTTATGCTTTTTCTTTTTTTTCCCCTAAAACCTGTTTTTTCTCCTCTTAAGAGGAAAGTAAAAAGTAATTCTGGTATGAGTTTTCCTATTCATATAATCATTTCGTAGAAGATTATAACTTCTTGACAGATGATTTTATTTTCTTGTAATGGCGAACTTGGCAAAAAGAATATATTTTCCCCATGTATAAGTTTCTGTGTGCTCAGTGGGCTTTGAATTAAACCAATTACTTTTGGCCCAATTTAAAATGTTAATGTCCACAGCCTCTTCAGCAGTGAATCCCACACCTTAACTGTGAAGAAACTGCTTTCCATTTGGGTTTTGCACTAGGCTTTGGCTGCTTTTGCTAGGATTTCCTGCTTCTTGTCCTAGAAGAAACGTTAAATAATTGATGTCTGGTGCCAGTCTCAGTGCCACCTATGATTTTTCACCTATGGTTTTACATCATCACATGCCTCCCTCAGCTGTTTTCCAGACAGGAGGATCTTACCATGTGTGATGGTTCTTTTTGTGAAACAGTGACATTGTTTTTTCAGACCTATTACATGGGGATTTTTTGAGGTGAGGAGATCAAAACAGCTGATGTTTTTGATAATACAGGTGTAAAATGGGTTATGTGTTGATGTTGTAGCATTTTCCCTTTTATTCTGTATGTCTCTCTCTCAAGAATTCTCAACACTTAATTTGTTCTTTCTAGTTTTGGATGACTTTTTTTTTTTTTTTTCAGTTTTACTGTTACTGAGTACTGAGCTAATATTTTAGTGGAAATACTTATCATACTTGTAGAATCTCCCAACGGGTTGTAGTCAGTTTAGATCTCAGCTTGTTATGCATAAAGGTAGGATTATTTTCACTTGTGTATAACTTTTCTCTCCCTGAATTTCATCTGCCAGCCTTTGACTATTTGCTTAGTCTTATAACATCCTTCTTTGCATTTGGCTTTTGTCTTTACTGCCCTGAATAAGCTAATATCATGAGGAAAATTAGTCATCTTACTGTTCACTCTGTTCTCTGGGTTACTTAGGATGCGTCAGCACAAAGAACAGCCACAGGTTCCAGCAAAACTCCACAGGGACTTTCTGTTGGTTTTATGAGTTGACCATGTGTTTCTGCTATTTCCTCCCTCGTAATCAAATATTTATGTGTGAAAGGACCCATCCTCTTATCTAATTGCTGCTTACTTTTCTTGTAAGCATTTGGAGAGGAGCCTTTCCAAAGGAATGGCTTTGGAAGCCCAAGCTGGCTGTGTCAGCTCGTTTCAGTCTTATCCACATGGTTATAGATTCTTTCAAACAACTAATTGAAATTAAAATGATCAAAAAGCTATAATTTTAGAGGCAAAAAAAGTGATGTGCTCTATCACATCTATGCTAAAAGTGATTGATCTTATTTTGTGTGCCTGAGGATTACTGGCTTATAAAACCTTCTCTCTTAAAAACTGAGGTGTTTCATACAGAAACCCTAAAAACTGTTTCCATTGTCTGTGCAGATGAACTTGACCCTGACTGGGACCCTGAGTCTCATAGTAAACTTTGGGAACTCACAGGAGAAAGGCAAATCTATCTGCCAACAAAAAGAGTGAAATAAAAGAATGAGCGAATTGTGGTTTCTGTAAAAATATGGAAAACTCCCCAAGAAAATTATTTGAAAACTGTATTAAGTATTTGTATTTAACCCTCCCCCAAAACATGAACTATTTCTAAATATAAGGAATATAGGGGGAAAATTAAAAACATTGGCTAACCCCTCAATATGGATTGTAAAAAATAATGTTTAACAAGCCTGATTTTCTTGGATGACAGGAAAAGAGGTGTTTTGCATAAGGGAGTAACAATAGTAACATACTGATATTAGGAAAACTTTTCATGTTGTCTCAGAAGATTTTCATTAGGGAGCTGGTGGGAAGCATATGAGATGGAATTGCTATTATATGGAGACCTCTCTGACTGGCAGCCTACGTCAAAGTGAAATTATCAGTGATTCATGGGGAAATTGGAAAGATGTCTGTAGGATCTGTCATGTGTTTGAAGCTTTCATCAGTGTTCTGAATTACACATCCAGATAATGTCAAGCTGAGAGAATTAAAAACATGCTGGAAAATAGGATTATAAATGAAAACAAATTTGGCAAATAGATGAAATAGTCTGAAATAATAGACTGTGTTTCAACAGGAAAATTGGTAAAAATTAAACCTCTTGGAAGCAAAAAGAGACCCATGAAGTTGTTTATGACAGTAACTTAGACATCGTGATTTTCTTTTGAAGGTTATTTTACTTCTGGCAGTGTATGCTTGGAGTACCTGTGGTTTCATATTACAACCCAAATTTAGTTGTCTTTCTGGTCTTCACATTCTTTGTGACATTTTCTCACAGCACAGTTTGTAGTATTCTCTATATGGACTGATATACATAGGGGCAGGAAATACTCTACATGTTTTTCACTTCTTTTAAGTGATGCATCACCTTGATCCATTTGCAATGACTCAAATTTGCATTTTTTGTTCCCCAGATAGATAGTTATTCTCTCTAATCTTGCTTGAATGTATTGCATAGATGAATTAGTGTAGAAAGCTTCACTAGAGAGCAAAAGGCTCTGAGGTGGAAAGTGCTGGGAGGACACAAGACATTATTCAGCAATAATAATTTCCAGGATTGTTGCCTGTCTGTCAAAAAACCAGAGGGAGAACTAATTTATTGATTTGAATTAGCTGGTTCTAAGACAACATATTTATTAGTTGATATGCTGCTTTTATGACATTGCCAAAACTGAATTAGATTTACTGTGACATTTTTTAAAGCAGACAGTCAACTCAGTTGCACAAAGTAAAGCCCCTTTTCCCTACTTAAAAATGTCATCATTTAATACTACATAAGTAATACAAAATGGACCACTGTGTGCAATGAACAGTGGCTCTTTTTCAGCCATGATGTGGAAATAGATGGTGAGCTTGATCCTTTTTTTTTTTTCCTTACAGAAATCCAGGTAATTTTAATTTGCTTAATGTGTTCTTTGAAAGCTTATTATAAATTTTGGTCTTCTTTTGAAGTTCAGTTCCTGTCCTGATACTGCAGGAATTTGCTTCTGATTAATGAGATGAAGAGAAAGGATAAAAAGGATAGTGAGCAGTTCCTTGGAGAGGCTTATAGTTTTGAATACAAAATCATTTCTTGAAATAATTTCTGGAAATAATTTTTATATCTCTGTAGCAATATGAGTAACTCAAATGCTGCAGTTAGCAGAGGTGATAAGATATATCAGTAGATATTAGAACTGCTAGTAGCTACTCAGTGTTATTTCACAGACTCTTGATTTTTCACTGATTCATGGTAAGTATCTAAATAGAACAGTAAAAGAAAATATCCTAAGCAATATTCTGAAATGATGTTTCTCTTCTTTGTACTAATTAAACTATATTCCTATTAAAACCTTGATCAGGCTAAGAAATACATTATTAAAAGCAAAAAAAGGCACCAAAACACTTGAAACCAAACATACCATATGTGTATGTTGCTTTCTGATGCATTGCACATTGTACAGAGTACACTCTTAGTCACCTTTCTGCCTTGTAAAAGAAAGTTAGGGAGCAAGAGCTATAATTTGGTTCACTGTAACTTTGGTTATCTGTGGATTAGTGGAACTGAACCCCCCTCACTCTTTCTGTCCACTTCTGAGCCTTTTTA